ACAAATAATCATTGGCAGGTGTAAATAGCACGACACCCGGCAAACATTTTCCCTTTTCTTATTTCTTTTTTTTTTCATTGCTATTTTTTCTAACAGGGGCTCCACACTTGGCACCCCGGATACAACTCCTTCAACCCAGGAAAATACCAGCAAGAAAAGGGATTATAAATGTGTTTAATGTATTAAATATATTTAAGTGCGCTTAATGGATTAAATATAGCAAATGGAGCAGGAAAAAATGCCAAATTCTGGCATGGAACATTTGATGATGTATGTTGAGCCAGAAAAAGTTTCAACGTCAAACGATAAAGTAACCAGCACTCCGCTTTCAAACCAGACACATTTCTTCTCAAAATCACGATTCTTCCTTAGAGATGGTTTGGTTTTCTAAGGAGTGTATGTTCCAAATTTTGTGAAGCCTTTTCCAATTTTTACCACAACCTATAGGGATAATATAATTACACCATGTCAAGTTTCATGTTTTCCAGGCTTCGTTCCATTTTCTACATTTAAAAATACAATAAGCTCCATGTTCGTGGTCAAGTCTTGGCACCTTGATGTTTGTGATTCCTTTTATTTTCTTGGATAAGGCTTGAATATATACTCAAGAACACAAATAGGATTTTTCAACCCAATTTTGCCAACCTTTTCACGCACTAGAATTTTCTATCTCTTCTTATGAACTTCCAGTTCAAATTTTAATTATACTGAATGCCTAGATATGCACTACATGGACTGAATGTAGCAAACGGACCCCGAAAATGTCAAATTTTGACATAGAACATTTTATGGTGTATCTTGAGTGTAGAATTTTTTTTAAGGCAAACGATAAAGAAGCAATTGCTTTGCCTTCAACTCTTAGATGTTCCCTTTCAAAAGAGTGATTCCTTCTTGAAGATGTTCCTCCAGGCACTCTACAAAGGGCTCGTTTGCCTAGTGCTCGATAAAAGACACTCGGCAAACACCCAAACTCTCGGCAAAGACATATTTTCCCGTAGTGTGAGACACACATGTGCCAACCTGGGCTTTTGATCTTTGATGGGCTGGGTACAACCACTCTCCTAACCATCTAAGCACATGTTGGTTCTTAAAATGTTGTGCCCTACATAGTCTAGAACTTCAATGTTGACTCATGCATGATTAAGAAAACGTTTCTAAATTAGCAATAGCTATTATCAAGGTCATTATGTATTCTTGCCATGTACAACTAAGTACAGTAGAGTCTGGTGTACAGTAGAGAAGATGCGATCTTAGCTGTTGTTAGACGTGTTGCTACTTTCGCCAAGCATACTTACGTTAGCGAACTTAGCTATCATGTAAAAGAGCTTTCCCCCCAAAATAGAAATCATGTAAAAGAGCTTACTTAGACAAAGCGGTGTAACGGGAAAGATACGTAGATTTTCATTTCTTGGTGCAACACATGCATGCACACATACGCGTAAACATACGCATGCAGTTCTTGCTTTTTTGGTGTAAACATAGCCGGAACCGCTATAAGAGCTAGCAGACCAACCTGCTAAGAAGGAAAAGGAACAGAGTTCCATGCAGCTCTCTCCTAGTCCTAGGAGAGCATCGCCAACGACGCCAAGCATGCAGCTACCGCACGCTATTGGTCTTTTATTCTCGCGCCTTTGCCTAGCAAGACATATACGCGGGCGTATGGAAGCGTGCACGTACCCCCGGCGACAGGTACGTACGTACTAGGACTTGCGTACACCCTTACGTACCCCCGGCGACAGGTACGTACGTACTAGGCCTCTTTTAGCCGTTCACAAGCCAACTGTTTGTTCGTTCCTGTGCAGTTGTTGCGCGTGTTCGGCTTGTATCGGCGGGGCAACAGCAACGCCGAGTTCAAGTACCTCCACGTCTACAAGCGCATCGACAAGTGCGACAAGTGGTCGGAAGTCCGGCGCACCATCGAGAAGGCCAAGGAGACCTACACGCCTGACGCGCCGTCTCCGGGCGCGTCAGATGGGCGGCCGGACGGCAACAAAGGTGCCAAGAAGAGGAAACACGCCGACGCGGCCACATCTCGCGTGCAGGAGTCCATCTAGCACTGCCTCACCGACGCACAGGTCCAGGCCGCCCTTCGTGAAGAGAAGACCGAGGCGCGTTGGTCGGCGTTGATGTCGACCAGCGCCGTCAAGCTCGACCTACTCCGGACCAACGTCACCGCGAAGAAGAGGAACACTGACCTGGCTTTCCTGCTGGGCGGGGCGGACATGCTCCAAAGCACCGACGAGGCGGTCAAGGCGTGGTACAGGGCGCATGTTGGCCTCATCCTGGACCAGCTTCCCTCGGCGACGCCGCCCATGC